AACAATGTGCGCAACCTTAGCAACTTATTGGAAAAACGTCAGCAAAAACAGTGATGCCGTTCTATATGATATTTGGTGTCGTACTTATCAAAGTGTGCTCTAACGTGTCGTGATGTGTTTTGGCACAATGTGCAGAGTTGATTACCCCTCTTTTTACCCCTTGAAATGATGAGTATTTCTACTACAAGCATTTAAAACCCTGCAACTCAACCCAAACAATGTTATCGCATCTAATCGAATGTAATCTAATCTGGTCTAATCTAATCTAACACCAACACAGCCACTTCTTGAAAGCATCTTGAAAAATGATGCACAGATAGAAATTCTGAATTTTAATAGTGATGTAAACATTCATTCACGTAAACTTGTATTTCATTTCAAGCAACAGAGCAACTTGTAAACAATGTTGTTTACAACAATGGGCTTTTGTATACAATATTTGCTACATTGCATGAGATGTCTCAGAACTTTACATGATATAAAATGTAAACTTATGTGATATGTAACGCTCCATTTATGTGCATTATACTGAACAGAAATTTACACTACTTTTTCGAACTGTGTGGATATTGATGAGTCAATCACAACCCCCTCTTCCCCACTGCTCTTTAAATTGGTGTGGTTGTTTTGAATTTGGTTGTGCTTTGGATTTTCTAGAATTTTTTTTATGGGAATCGAAATGACCTATTCATTGGATTGATAAAAATAAAAATATTGCTCAAATTTCACCACATTTCGGGCTGTGCAGAACAACTTTGTCAAAGACTGCAAATTGGTTAGACTTTTGAGAAAAAATAAGGTTATTATTATATTAACTTAGACTGCATTTGTTCTCGAAGCTCATACTACACTGAGAGATTGTCAGTTCTGTCTAGAAAATAATTGTTTGCATTGATTTTTAAAGTATACGTATGAGGCAGCTTGTTTTTTTCCTCTGTTCGGGACTTAAGGTTCAATTTACTTTGATGCATATTTTTAAAATTCAAATGCAGTTTTTTTCGACGCATTATTTTAGATTGCAAAAAGCTCGCGTCATTTTGTGTAAAATATCAATAGGAATCGAATAGTGCGAGCTTTTTGCAATCTGAAATAATGCGTCGGAAAAAACTGCTTTTGAAATTTTCCAAAAAGCATCAAAGTAAATTGAACCTTAACACTACTGCAACCAGTAAATTGATCTATTGTAGTATATCCCGTGTCCTTAGTTTAGTGCATGTCGTATTACTCCATCACTATTGAGAAATGATGAAGTATTAGATTTTTTTTCAGGTGCCACTCTTGCATTTATCGCAAGGATCGGACTCTAATTGAAAGGTCCCGCTATTTATACTCTTTGGAGCGTTGAAACACCCTCCAAAGGCACGCCCCTTTGTCAGTCAAAATTGGATTCCTTAGCAACAAAACACCGACACCGACACCGATAATGACCATGCATCAGAACCCTAATCTTAACCACTTCAAACTATGGAATAACGAATAGAAGATTAGGAATCACATAGATGAAAACTAACTAACTCATTTTTCCTTGTTTCAAGATCATCCTCGGTGGACAAAGCCGAGCCTTGTCACTATCAACAAGGCATAAAAAGTAACAAGGACTAAGATGTGTTCCTTGGATTACTGAAAAATTCTGTTTCCCTAGTTTGAATTAGTCAGGACTAGGAATCGGTGCTAGATCTTACATCACGTAACGTACCACGGAAAGGTGATCTATCCACGTTACGGGACATGCACTTTTGCTTAATTTTGCCTATTCTATTAGTAAGGATTCCAATCGCCAGTGAAAGGGTAAATTTGTGTTGCTTAGACCTTATACTATGCCCTCTCAGATCTGGGTTTTCTCGGTTATCTTGTAAATTTATTTCTTTTTGTATCTCAGATCCCATATGGCTCTACAAGTATGAATGTTAACATTTGTAACGTTTAAACATTATAACTATATCCTTCGTTAAGGATAAACAGAGAGGAAAAGCTCAACTTAACCTAGATGCGCAGACATGCCATGCGTGGGCGTGTTTTTCCTACTTGAACGCATAAACATTCCTGAGTAAATAATGCAGTAAGATTATGTAAACGAGCTCTTGTTCCTTTTGCCCTACTTTTCATTTAATTTTCTTGGCCTTGGTATCGACATCAGCTAGGGCTGTGCAAACGAGATGCAACTTTGTCGTTATCTTATGGTTTTGGTCTTGCGGTAGCAGATTTGTTATTTTTCAAGATAATGACCTGAAATTTCCTCCAAATATTATTAAAAAAAAAACTATCTACTAGAGTTCAACATTTTTTTCATGATGAGATAGGAAATATTTTTCAAGAATCTAAGGAGGAAACAGATTTCTTTAGATTTTTAAAATCTTTTTTCTAATATTTTTGAAATAATTGTGCAGTCTAAAGATAAAGCGTAAAGCGAAAGACGATTTTGAATAGGGTAAATTATGTTCTTGCCTCTTTAATATTTTGTAATTTTTGAGAGGGGGGTGTCATATATTAAAAATGAAATTTGCATCAGTCTTGCAATTCCCCTCGGATTTAATAACTCCATAAAGATGTCTTCAAGTTCACATATTCTCATTGCAGTTAACCTCTTGTCCTCTCAACCATATATAAGTCAAGATCATATCATCCGCAACGCCAAACTAATAAAGTTGGCATTTATGCTTCAATTAATCTTCGGTCTCAGATCCCTTTCATACCCAGACACAACAAAGTCCAGCATTGTCTGATATTCACCACACATCCACTTCTTCCCTGGGGGCGATCTGAAACAAACTGCACAGAGATCAAATCAGCAACGAGAGCGTGCAAATTCGACCGGCCGAAATGTTATTCTAATCTGGCATTAATGATCATTCACCCATATTTTCGATACGCTTCCTTCAGTCCAAATCACGTGCAAACTCCACCCCCACTCCTCCCCCGTTTTTTACGCATGGTTCAATGGAAGAATTTTAACGCCTGATTTAATCGCTTCCAATTTAGATTGCTCACACTGCGGCACACGGCGGGGAAGGCTCGGCCACTACTGTTCGCAGTTTATGTTTTGGTGCCCTCAAGGCCTTAATTTGTTCCAATTTGGTAGAGATACGATCAACCTCTTACGGACTGCGGCGGAGACTGTTGTGCGTCCGTTTCTATTTAACTCGGCGTTGCGTCCGCTATGCCATGGAGGTGAGCTCGCGGTAACAAGATGACTCAGCCTCTGTCTATTGCATTGCGGGTGGAATGTACTGTTTGGGATCTGTCAGGTTCAGGGATGATGCGAGCAAGCGAAGGGTTCGTGCTTCAACGTTTACATGGGCCAGTTCTAAGAAAGTGAAATCTAGATCGGAACGTGCGCACGGTGATGATGATGACGGCAGGCGGTTCTGATTCTCATCCGGTATGCCTAATTAGCATAAGTTGCAATGGATGTACCGACTGGTTGTGCATGCAATTCTGGTGTATCTGCTCCAAGGATGGGCACAGAATTTCTATACGGGTGGGGTTCAAGAAAACTTTGAATTGGGAACTGGTTCAAAACTTCTGCAATGAAAAAACAATTCGGATGAATTTTTACATCTAAACCTCACCTAAATGATGATTGTGAGATAATTCATAAATTTGCATCCGAAAATTGACATTTGTTCAAATCGCAAATTCAATTGATGTCACATTTTTTGGCAGATTTGACTGAAATTGCGCTACATTAACCGAGCCCTAGCACATCTGTGCCGTCAAGAAATTAAGATCTTCCAGGAACACAAAAATCAAAATCATCCAATTCGAAGTTCGTAGTTCACAGCTAGAACCCTTCCCTAGTGCATACCTCTGCATCTATCAGTGTTTACTGTGGTTTGATAATATGTATTGGTAAAGGTACCTACCTCTGCAACAAGCAAGCTGGTATAACAATGCGTAACTAATGCATCATCATCAACCATACATGGGCGGCTTCTGATGCTTGATTTAGTGGTTTCAGTTTTCCCACAACAGCTGTTTCGCACAAGCGGAACTATCGGCATATAACGGCAATTCTAGCGAAGCTCACCCAATTGTAGTCCAGTGAGGGAGAATTTCCCACACTTTCATACGTGTAGATCATTGTCAACCTGGACGTTGAAATGAAATGGGTTCCGTTCTCTGAATTGATAGACTGAATTGGATTTTAATTGCTGTGGCATCATATTGTCTCCCGGATGCTTCGTGGTAAACATAATTATTCCGAGGTCGTCTCAAACCCATACTACCCACTACATATTTTCTACGATTGCCTCAATGTGGCATTTTTGAAGAAGTCTAGAATGATTCTACCGGATGCCATCATCGAATGGAAATCCAAGCTTGTAGTAGGTATTAAGCTTAAATCTCAACTTGACCTTTACGTGCTTCCCTTTCCCTTGCGTCGGCTTCGAGTTGACATACAATTGTTTTCTAATCATTCAGCATTGTCGTCGCGTCTAGCATAGGCAGCTGCGGTATGGTTACATTCTCCTTCCAAGTTTCTCAATTTATGTAGCAAGTAGGTAATGAGTAACAACATGGCAACAAGTTGGAATGGTGTTCCCTGCTGCGGATTCGGTTGTGCGTAGTTTTTTTTTCTTCTAGTCACGTCGAGGGTGGAGTTGCGAGGACACATCACTTTTGAAAACTGTAGGAATCTGACGGGGTTGGAATTTGCGATTCGGGTTGGACCACCGCTCCGTCATTGTCGTCCATGGGAATAACTTTTCGCTCCATACGTCAAGTTCCAAGTAGGTCGTCAATGATCTGACTGAGCCCCGGAGCAAGATGAAGGATGTCCTTAATATTCACAGCATGTTCGGCGTTCGCTGTTTGGTATGGGAAAAGGTTGCCTGATTGAAAAGTTTACTCGATGCGGGATATTTTCTTTATGGATTAAAACTTCCGGGGGCGAATTTTCCGGATGCGAACTTGCACCTCATTCATGGGACCGTTTCGTTCGGAATTCGTTTGATCTGTTCGTAGCTAATAATAAAAAAAATATATTTTTTTCTTTTCAGATTCTGGCCGCACATGTTTCACTGACGACGGCACAGCAGGAGGTGATAGTGTCCATTGATGATCCAGATAAGACACAGTACCATGAGGCAAACTTCAATACGAGTAAGTTTTGAACGTGAATTATATTTTCCAATTATGATGCATGCTTCATGTTTAAACAGTTATATTTACCATATTATGTTGCAAATATGAGCTTGCCTGATTAAATTTGCCTTCCGGTTCACCTGGAGCAATTCTCGGAAAAAATAAACAATAGGGTAAAAGCGAAGACTACAAATCAAGAAGACTGGCAACTGTTCCCTTCTCCCATACAAATATCAAACATCACTGATAACAGCGCCTCTGTCAATCAAAGGTGGAACTTTTAATCACAAGTGTTAGTGAGACTGCTCATAAACAGTGACTGTGTGTGTGCCCTAATATCACCGAAACGAATAATCATAACACGGTACTCGTTGTTGTTTATGTTTTGCTCTACAACATTTCACGGCAATTTGTATCCTAATCCCAGCAAGCCGGTTGTTTTCCAACTCCAATGAAGTAGAGGATTGAAACTTGGATCGATATCTAGTGAAAATAACTTTTACTTGTGAACGAGGAACCGAAATATTGTTTATTTTGCCTGTTGGAAGCAATCAATTACAATGAATTGGCAGCTTCCACCACCATTGAGTGAACTACCATCATTCGGAAGCTGCTGAAAATTCAAAAATTGTTCGGCTGCCTTTCAGTTTATCATTCTTTCCTTCTACTGCTGTCAGTTCTGAGTCGACCTGCAGAGTCACTTGGTTGGAAGAATTTACACTCGTTCGGCAATCTGTTTGTAGGTGAGGATGGCTATTTTGATTCTGTGAAACTCGCGCGAGTGAATGAATTTTCCCATGCTTGGTTGTCAGAACATAAAACCACCGACCGCTTCCAGAGAATAATAACAACAGTGTCGGATTGGCCAGTGACATTCAAATGCCGGCGCCGGTGGTGTAGTGGTAAGCGTGACTGCTTTCTAACACCCCAATGGGTCTGGGTTCAATCCCAGCCGAGGTCGGTGGGATTTTTCTAAGGCATAAAAATCTCTGGTCACGTCTTCCTTCGGAAGGGAAGTAAAGCCGTTGGTCCCGGCCCATGTGTGTTGAATGGGTGCGATATCTTACGCAGGTGTGGAAGCTGCCTTCCTGCACATTCGATTGCCGTCAATGGATGGCAATCGATGTCCGTCGGTGATTGGCACTAGATTGCGGAACAGAGACCGACGTTAAATAAAGGAAAGAAGAAAGAAAGAAAGAAAGACATTCAAATGGTCAGCGAGTACTGTGCCAAGTTGTCGTGCCTCAGAAAAATCCCACCGACCTCGGCTGGGATTGAACCCAGACCCATCGGGGTGTTTGAAAGCAGTCACGCTTAATACTACACCACCGGCGCCGGCATTATGAATGGCATCATTGCCATGGTTTTAATTTTCAAAACAAATTTACTTACGCATCTGTTCAATTTCAGTTGGAATTTTACTCGTTGTCAGCATAAAGCAAAGAAAGAAACGTTTCACTTCTTACGATAATCATAACAAAACCAATAGTTGATAGCTATTTATTTCTACCGATGTGTGTGAATGTACTTGTGAATTAACACACACCATCATACACAGGTTCCACTTTTACTCAGAAGAGGCATTGCCGTTACTGTCTCCTGATTTTTGGCAGAGTTGCCAGTCTTCTTGATTTGCAGTCTTCGGTAAAAGTGAGGTAAGAATACGGTATCCCAAGTGACATTTTCAGCATTATTAGTCAACTGTCGTGCTGTAAAGTAGGTGAAAAAAGCTGCAAATATACTGTTTTTAGAAGGGGGGGGGGTATTGTTAAATCTTCCAAAATATTATATGAGGGGAATACGTAATATCATTTCAAAGAATTAAAAAGTTGCATTTTTTATGATGGAGAGTTGTCTACATATAGTTTATCAGCTTTATACATCGATTTCGATCCCAACACATACACAACATACGCCAGCTTGAGGCGAATTCATCATTGGTATCTAATGTGGGTGCCAATGAGGCCAGGCCCGATCCACAATTATCTGACCCCCCCCCCCCCCAATTGTTTGGTGTTTGTTTTTATTTGACTCACCGGTATTTTGTCAAGCTTGTCAAGTTGGACCACAAACAACGTTTTTTTAAAGTCCTTTATGTTGACTACTTTTATTATGTTCTGGACTTGAAGAAACAATTTTGAGAAATTATATTATAACGATATTTAATCGAAAGCATAATAAGACGTCTTCAGGCTCTACAAATTGGCCGAGAGTACAAGGATTTTTCTTTTTCCTCGTGGAACTTTGTAGAAGTTTAAGGACCTCTAAGAAGCTCAGGGAACATAGTGGAAATTAACGAAACTTATTAGTAATTGTGGGAACTTCATAAATCTTCAGGCAATGTCATAGAAACAAGGAAATTGGGAAAGTTCTGAAAATTGCGTAGAAGTGGAAAATTTATTTAAGTTTGAGGAGTTTCGTAGATGTTAAGGAAACATTATTTTATTTCAGAGCAGCTCATTATTGACCGGAAATTTCTATATCATTTCAGGGCACTTTTTTGAAACCCTTTGGACTTGGAAAAGTTGTGGAAACATAGAAGTGCAGCAAACTTTATAGACGTTTTGTGAATTTCATGGCATTTTGTGTAGCTGCGTGAAACTTCATAAGGATTTTTGAAAAAGTTCAGGGAATTTTGTAACTAGAACATCTAAAAATAATTCAATAAACTTCTAAGAACTTCAGGGATTATCGCTTCAGCTTAGGGAGCTTCATTGCTGTTTGTCAGAGATCTTACTTCAAAAAAGCTCCATGAACTTCTTGGAAGGTTTTAAAACCTTCGTTAAATTTCAAGGAACTATCCAGATATTCAAGCATATTTGTTGAAAATAGGTGTCTTTCCAGAAGTGCAAAGATGTTCGGAGATCTGTGTAGAACTAAGAGAGATGGAAAAATATGGAATTTCTAATAAATTCCGTAAACTTTGTAGAAGTTGAGGAAATTTTGTAAGCTTAACATACATCCTTCCTAGACATCAGGAGATATTCAAAAGATCTTCATAGAGACGAAGATATTGGTAAAGTTCTCTGGAGATTTTTCCTGAAGTCCTGGTCATGTTTTGAGGATCTCCAACTGTTTCCAGCATTCAAATATTCTTTCAAGACTGTAGGTTGTTCAGGAAGGATTCAAAAGTTTCCAGCTAATTGAATCTGATGGAATCTTGAATGATGAATCTAGATTTAATGGACATGTTTGTACATTCTCTATATTGTGAAGAATTAGCACTCCAGCAGCTGAATTCCAGGCATAAATTTCAACGAAGAGATAAAAAAAATTCTACTTATACCTAATAGGGGAAATGGATGTAATGTCGGCCTAATTGCCTCTAATTTGGGCCCATACATAAATTCATCAATGGACTAAATTTTCAATAGCGACTAAAATATCTATTAGTACCGTCCCAATGACGCGTTAAACTAGATAAAATTGATAAATAACATATTTTTAGCGATGGGCTCAATCTTAGGTCCATAGGCCAACATTAGAGCCATTTTCCCTTTGTAATAATTCCTTGATTTCGATGAAATCTATGCCCAGAATTCAGCTGCAGGATAGTTTGAATGGCTTAGCAAATCCGTGCTTTGTGTGTGTATTTTTGATTAAATAATTTAAACACTTTGAAGTACGTGTAAATAATAAATAAGTACCAAATGGGTTTAAGCAAAACTAACTCCGTTTAAAAATAAAAAAAACTCTCCCAATGCAGCATTGTTCCTGAAAGCAGTCTGACTGAGAATTTCAAAAGGCACGTGAGTGTCACCTTTATTTAATCTACAAGGTATACCGTAACAACGCTGACGGTAACGCTAACGATAAATAGGATTTGTTTCTTAATATGAGATTAAGCGAAATTCGGTTGAAAAATGAGCACTCAAAGAAATAATATTCGAACTTTATGAAAGACGTGTTGATCGGAAAATTAAAACAAATCCTTCTTATGAGTCGATCGGGATCGACATCTAGTAACAACAAGTTCAACAGGAACTTGGTCGTAATTGCTTTGTGAAATGAGGAGCTCGGTGGCCTTGTGGCGACCGGTTTTGCTTACTGAGCAGAAATCCATGGGTTCAATCCTATGCTCCTTCACATTATAGAGATATACTTCAAATCGGCTATCTTTAATAAATAATATGATAGGGGAAATGGATGTAATATCGGTCTAAATGCCTCTAATTTGGACCCATGTATAAATTCAGCAATCGACTAAATTTCCAATAGCGATCAAAAATATCCATTAGTACCGTCCCAATGACGCGTTCATCTAGATAAAATTGATTAATAGCAGACTTTTAGCAATGGGCCCAATCTTAGATCCATAGGCCAACATTAGAGCCATTTCCCATGAAATTCGGTTCAAGGGACGGGTACGTAAAGGAAGCAATATTTAAGTTTTAGAAAAGACGTGTTCATCGGACATCCATATCAAATCCTTCTCAAGAGCAATTGTTGTAGTCGTCAGTGAGATCGCCGCTGGGATCGAAACCTAGCACCAACAAGTTGAACGGTAACTTGATCGTGATTGTTTTGTGAAATAAGGAGCTTGGTGGCCTAGTGGTGACCGATTTGGCTTACTGAGCAGAAGATCGTGGGTTCAAAGCCAAGCTCCTTCGCGATATTGAATCGTTGGGACACCAATTCAGCATTTCGTTTACCAAAATGAATCCTGCTGCAATTTCAACCCTTGTATCCAACATCCCAGTGATTTCTCGTGAAAGTGCAGAGGTGTTCTCGGCTTTCATTAAAGTGAGTATTATGTCAACATATTCCTACCCATTCCTTTCTTGATCAGCATTCAGACGTGGCTGGCGCTGGTATTGCCTAGTTTTAGATCAGATGATTGAAGATGATTGTTAGTCCCAAGCAACATCTTTTGGTTCTCTCTGTAATTACAACTGATCTGGCAATAACGGAGTAGCATCCTCGGGCGGTCAAGCATGCTCATGCTCTATACATCCTTTTCTAACAGCTGTGATAAAACAATCTAAAAAAAAAATCACGGCTGTTACATCTGGCAGGTA